AGGAAAAACGTAGGATTTTGATAAGAATGTAAGTGTAAAACAAAGGATTGCAAAACACAGGAAAAATACAGGAATGACTGTTTGATTGAACCACAGGAAAAACACAGGAATTGGATAAGAGAGATAGACTCAAAGGAAAGTTAGCAAGAGGTTAAAGCTCTTGCTAAATTTCCTCCAAAATCTCTATAGGATTGTCCATTCCATAGGAATTTCAAAGGATTGGATAGGATTCAATCCTTTGTTTCAAAGGGCTTCATAGGAAATTTTCCTATAGGATTGAAAACCTCTAAAATTCCTATGTTTTTCCTCCAAATCAAAGGGGCCCTAAGTTCTAGAAACAACAGAAAACTATGACGGTCCGTATTCATCTTATGCTAATGTAAACACAAAGGATCCAGGATCACAGAAAGTGATGTAAGTATGGTTAGGGATTGCTAGCCTTGACTAGTACGCAGATGTGACAATATTAGGTCTGAGTTTTTCACCGGTGGCATGGCATTCAGCACAATGTAAACTTTTCAACACTTGTAGTTGTTGGTTTCGCCCTGAACTCCAAGAAGTATGCAACATGGTTCAGAACTCTTGAACAGGTCTAAGTTGTTGTAGATTCGTAGCCTTGAACAGGGAAAAGAAGAGGAGCAGTTCAATACATTAATCTGTTTTGTGAAAATGACAGGATATCCAAATATTCGTAGTTAGAAGGCAGAATAATACAAGGGAAAAAATCAAGTCTTTTTTTTTCATAAAAGAACCCACCCACATGGCCACATCTAACAGACAGACACCAACAGCAATCTAGGATCTGGAGGGGTGTTTTCTAGACAATGGAGCAAATAATCTAGGACTTGAAGGGATGTTCCCTTTAAGATATTGAGATTAAAAAAAATCATGGACCAGTTCAGTACTCTATTGCATTTGGTCCATTCGAGGCACGAGAAAATATAGCGCATATTTCTGATTCCGTCATGTGTTTCAAATTAACCTGTCTGTCATTTGCATCAGGTAAACAAAATTGCAGACAATCTTTTTCACTTGTCAGTTGTCACACACACACACACACACAGCGCACTGCTAGATAGGATCATAAGATATAACTTATCCCCAGTGACTCCAGAGTCTAGAAGCAACAAAAAAAAAGGAATAAGAAAACGCTATAGAAGTCGATCACAGCAAATGTTCTTCATTTTCATACGTAACTGACATGCTAGTCCAGCTATACTTGACAAAGTCATATGTCACAGAGTCTAATAGTCTACGCCCCTCTTGTGTTAATTTGCACTTGTTGACCTTCTGTTCTCTCCTAAACCATATATATCAAGAAAGTAATCGGCACTTCTCAATTAATTTCTTTAGAGCATAGTATGATCTCACTGGCTACTTATTTATGTAAGTAAATAGCCGATCAGATCAGTGAGCATCCATGATCAATCCAATGGTGCACTTGCTATATTTCCTGTAAGCTGACTTTGATTTTGTTGTCATTTCTCCATTCAGAGAACAGAATCTCCATATTACACACTGGTGCTTGAAGTTGGAAGAACTAACCTTAAATGTTGAGTCAATGTTAGAGAAAGATCTCCACTCTGTTTCTTGGACAGCTGATAGAAGATCACCGATGATAGCGAATGGCAGAAAAAAAAATCTTTCAAATGCCGTCATATACAAAGAACTTGGGTTTTCCTTTCCCTATTCCCATGCTGCATTAATTGATTTTTCATGTACAGTGTGTACTCTCAGGAAATATACAATATTGTCTCATTCATGACAATGACATAAATAGTTCAATATTTCAATGTGCTACAGGAGGGCGTTTTGCATTACTCTACTACTAGTATCAACCTATCATCATTCGGAAATTCAGACAGACTATGTGGTTTTGTTTTTTCCCACTCTGATAAAACATTTCGTCATTTTTTTAGCATTACTGGACGCCAACCGCCGTTGTGTCAACATGGGAGTTTTTTTTTTTCTATGGTTGATGCGAGATTGTGCCTTTTAGGGATTTCTTTCTGTGAAGACCCTATGTTTCCAAACAAAACCTTAGAAAATATGATCCCTCTATCGTTGAATGGCACCTTGGACATTCGAGATGGTCACGCATCATCAGGCCATCCAGTAGAAGAGTTCATCATTGCATGCCTTGTGAGCTCCACAATGGTCGTTGACCGTGTTAAGTGAACCGTCTTGTGTAGATTAAACTCTTGGCAAGGCAATCCATTAACCAAAACCAAAAAAAACTCCTGGGAGTCTAGCTAATGATCAACTGATCAAGTTGGCACTGTACGTATACTTGGTACTACCTCTGTCCCATAATAATTGTATTTTTAATATTCGAATTTATCCCAAAATAATTGTCACAATATAGTACTAATGGTCTCATTAATCACTTCTCATTCAAAATTATCTCTATTTTACCCTTAACCACCCTTCCACTTTTACATATACACCATTTAATAAGGGGCATCATAGTTTTTCTTTTCAAACCTTAATATATGCTAAACAATCTAGAATTACAATTATTTTAGAATTGCAATGAAAGTAATTGTGAATTCATAATCCGAACAAAGGCCTTTTAGCAGGTTCAGTGCAAAAGCTGGATGTACTTTCATTGCTCAATGAATTATCCATTACCTAAAAAGAACCAGCCTTTTTAATTATGTTAATTAATGAAAAGAGCGTTTGGCAAGTGGACAGAAAACATAAAGTTTATTGGGCAATATTGGTGCTTACTAGCATGGTTATGTTGAGTTGTTAAGAACTCACCAAAGAGAATGAACATAGACACATTGCGCACAGTTTGTCAACCAACATGTCGCTTGCACGAGAACAACTCACTAGTGCATACAGTGGACAAAGGCACCTATTAATGGTAAGAGCTCGTAAGTTGACTACTTGCAACTATTTGAAAATTGATGACACTGTGTATCTATAATGTGGAGGCTCATCCCATCACCCTTATCTTAAAAATCAATATGAGATCAGGACAGTGGCGGCTAAGAAAACCATTATTATTTATTCACATAATAAAGAGGTTGCCTACGCGATATTTCCGTTGTTGCAAGAAACACGATCTTCGGCTACGTTCTCCATCACATCTGTCTTTGGTGCCATCACCTCGACGATTTTGCACCAGCCATCGTATTCGAGTGACGCCCACATCTATATAAGAAAATAAAAATATAAATCACATGGGTGTCGAGAAAAATTAAAAATAACAAAAAAGTGACCATGCACATGCTCATAAGGGCCACGCACCAGCGACCTGTCCAACCAAGACCCGGCTTGTTGCGATGCGAGCTGCGACGCCCGCTTGCGCCCAGAGCTAGCTCGATCAACGCATGCATCTCACCGATCGAATCGATCGGTTTCTTTCACGGCCTTTGACCCGTCACACGCGGGGTCGATTCGGTGATTTCGATCCCGTCCGCTGCACGCAGTCCCGCTCTCCCACCCGAAAGCCCGCGCCGTGCCGCCTGCGCTAACTAGCTTTGCTACCTGCTGCGTTCCAACTTTTCTTGGACCCACTCGACCCCGGCCGATCCTGCGGTCGAGCCCTTCAACCACGCAGCGCACGCACGCACGCATGCTGCTCGATCTGCTCTGCCCCGGACGAGGCGGGCGGCCAATGCGCCCGCGTCAGACGCTCGGGGTTCTGTGCGTGCCGTGTCGTGTGCTCGTGTTTGTGCTCTCGTGTCGTGTTTCGTGTGTGCCGTGCAGCGACCTGCGCTTAGGGTACCCACAATGGTTATCTATAAGCTCTCTATAAGAGATTCATGTCAGTATATTTTCCTACTTGGAAGATATTAAATGAATAGATAGAGCAAAGCTATCTACTAACTTAGAGATAGTCTATAGAGAAAAACGAGGCAATACATGAGAGAGCTATAGATACCCACGTAGACATACTATTGAGGTGGTTTACTATTAATCTAGTCTATTGCTGAGATGTACATGTTTTATAGATAACACCTTACTTTACCATTGCGGGTGCTCTTATATGCTGTGGACGTCGTCTCGTTCTCCTGGGCTCGCCCTTTCTGTCCCCGTCCGTTCTAGATTTTACTGCCTCCGTTCTTAAATATAAGAGATTTTAGTTGGATATGGCATATTCTAATACAACGAATGTGGATATAATCAAAATCTCTTATATTTAAGGATGGAGGGAGTAGTACTCCAAAGGGACGATACATACCTCCAACTTTACTTGGACGTGGACCCGACCCGATCCTGAAATTAAATTTGAAAAATATACTGTTGATTCTTTTTTTCTTAGAAATATTCGTGATGCAAACTTTTTAGCAGAAATATACCGTCGATCTCGCACAATCGTTGTGCGAAAGTGACGAGAGCGTGAGGACGCATGCGGTATCACGAGATGGAAGAACTAGAGCGAACGGCTCACATAAGAAATCAGCGAGACCGCATGTCTTGTCCATCAGTATTGCTTATTAACAATTTTCAACAGTCGCTATCGCTCATTGAGTGAGCGAGATTGCTCGGTCTCGCGGTTTGGCCGTGCGAGACCGCGTGGTCTGACGCCGCCACCACGCACGTCCTCGATTTCGCAGTTCAGTGCCGCAGTTTCATCGTGCGAGACCGTGCGGTTTCGCGCTATCACCGTGCGACACCGTGCGGTCTCACGCTGTCATTGTGCGAGACCGTTCGCGTCGTCACTTTCGCGGAACGGTTGTATAAGATCGATGGTATATTTCTGCTAATAAATTTACATCCCAAATATTTATGAAAAAAAAACGAATCGAACATTATATTTTCAAATTTAATTCCCCGATCCTGCGGGTTCGAGCCCTTCAACCACGCATCTGCGGCCGCACGAGGCGGGCGTCCAATGAGCCGTGCTGTGTCGTGTCGTGCACTCGTGCGTATGCCGTCTTATCTCCTGCATATGCCGTGGCCTGATCTGGACGCCGTCTCCTGGCTCCTGCAGGTTCCTCCTCACCCTTCCTGTGTCTCCTGCCTCCGTCCGTTGTAGTAGTAAAAAAGGGATAGTACTCGTAACTCGCGAAGGCGATAGGAGGGTGCGCATGCGCGGCTGGTGGCGAGCCGAGCCGGCACCCGGCAGATCGGGCGCGCCTCACGTCTATATAGACACTCACGGGGGCCGCGTCGTCTCCATGCCCTCACCCTCGCGCACTCCCATTCCCATCCTCCACATCCCGCGCCATCGACCTCCTCTCCCCGGGACCGCGTCGCTCGCGCGTTGCCTCCACCTCCAGTAGCAAGTATCAATGGCGGACTCCGGCAAGAAGCGGGACGGGTCGGCCAACGGCGCCGAGAAGAAGGCGTCGCCGACGCCGAAGCCGCCGTCCTCCTCCACATCCGGTTCGTCGTTCGTTCGTCCTCTCCCCTCCCTCCTTCTAGGAACACGCGTGCTGCGGCCTGCGTGCGTCCATCGCCTTTTTGCTTTGTTAATTTCTCGTGTTCAACGCAGCGTTTGTTTCGTAGTACGTCGTCGTAGCCTGTTCGTGATTTGCCACCGCTCCCTGTTTTTACAATTTTGCTGTATAATCAGCTCGGTTGCGGTCTCGATCTCAAGATTGACACTATCTCACATAAATTAATTATGATATGACCGCGTCATTGTTTAAGATCGGCCAACGGGCCGCGAGCCCGCGAGAGGTCGCGCGCTCTTGTCTGCATGCATGTCGATTGTCGGGGTACTCAATGCTGTGACCCCAATGCTTTCGGCGTTAACCATCTGTCCTTTTCGTTCATCCCGAAGCTAATTTATACGCCTCCATCCACGTTTCTTCTGTCCTCGAATAGTTGGAGTTTGCGTGTAGGTCTTGTGATTTTTGGGTGGCTTCATGAACAAGGTAAAAAGGCCTTTCCATCAAAAAGGTAGGTAGTAGTAGTAAAAAGAAAAAGAAAAACCGAAATAACAGGTGCAGATTGACCCGGTGGGCCGGGCGGCTCATAAAAATTAACGCTTCTGACTTGATCACATAAATATCAACAGTTCCGAACAGGTGACACGCAACTGTACACACCTTGATGATCGATAGGGCCTACGGCATTCACGCACGCAAGTACTACTCCTATCTACTTATCTAAAGCTGGCTGTTTAGCCCGAATTTGATTGGGCCACGTGGCTTCAATCAGTTTGCAATAAATCTATGATTTCCTGAGAAAAAAATATAAGAAATTTTTTAAGAGAAGAATCTGGAGCCATGAGGAAGAAAAATCGCAGGCTCCCAGCATGAGGAAGAAAAATCGCATGCTTTAAGTACATTGCCTCCACACGCATGAGCGAATGATGTTGGGTCTTCCTTGGCAGCTGGGCTACACCTTGCCTGGGCCAGCGGGTTGAGAAGATGAGTTACCCAACATCAAATATACTTAAAGCATTACTTATGATTTATATTTTTTTATATTTGTATAATGCTTTTAATAAGAGGAATGGTAAATATATGTATATGTGCGTCAAATATTAAGAATCGGAGTGAGTATTTTGCAAATATTGCACTACTCCAAATGTGGTGGTGCAAGTGTAACGACTTTACGTGCATATGTTCCTTGCAATATTCAAACACTGCTTGCAACAAAATTAATCAGCCGAAACAAGATTATCATGTTTTCAAGCCCATTTTAATTATCACCTCCGTAGGGACTAGAGATAAACTAGCTCATTACTTCAAATCATAATAGTATTGTCAAGACAATTATCACATACTTGGGGATGGGCGTGTTGGTCTTGTGGCAAATGGACATAGTACTGGCCACTTGGAAACGATAAGAAAACTGTCACATCAACGTGATTTTTGTTGCAATGTCGTTGTGAACATATACTTGTCTGTATTTTGAGGTAATGCCAAGTTATATATAGTTGTTCATCGAATAATAGAAGAGGGATGTATTTGATTTATATAGTTGTATGCATTTAAATCTCCAAAGAATGGCATATTAATGTTATAAAATATGTACGTATATTTGCAAACGTTAAAATTTCCACATATTTTTGATTAATCATCTGTATTATGGTTAATCGTTGGACAATGCCTTTTCCGTCCCATGATTGTATTCTGCTATTCTGTCTTCCAGAACGCACCCACGTCCAACTGAGTATATCAAAGCAGTGTGAAGTGTGAACTGCTCCTAATTCTTACAATAGTTTATAACTGCATGACTTTTCAACACATCTTAGTGTCATGTTGTAATGAATTGACCATTGATAAGGATATATTTATATAAATGCCGACATGCGACACTTGAACCTCGCAAAGTCAACGTAGTATCTTATATGACACCTTTAGGATTATAATTACATCATACTCCGTGCTACTCCCTCCGTTTAATATTATAAATAGTTTGACTAAATTTATAGTAGAATTTAGTAATATCTAAAATATCAATTAGTTTCATTAGATCTAACCGTGGATATATTTATTTTGTGTTGAAAATAATATAATATTTTCCTATAAATTTAGTCAAACTTAAACAAGTTTGACTATAAAAAAAATCAAACGACTTATAATATGAAACGAATGGAGTAGATAATAGTAGTATATCAGTACGTAGCAAGGTTTATAGTAGAACCGGTGGTAACCGGCCAATTAACGACTGGTCTGCCAGAATAAATCGGCCAAATAACCAAATTGGAATAATTTAAATCCAAATTGATTTTAATTTTTTTATAATAATAAATTTGATAGATTCATCAATATTTTCAACATACCGATGTGCTTTTTTTAAAAAAAATATATATTGATGTGCCTCTTTTCCTGGCAGGTTTCTCCAAGAATGTCCCCCTCCTCGTGTTTGTGTTATTGCTGGGGCTGCTGTACCGGCAGCTTCAGCCTCCGGTTCCGAAAATCTGTGGAACTCCGGGAGGCCCTCCGGTGACCGGGCCAAGATTGCAGCTCAAGGATGGGAGGCACCTGGCCTACCACGAGTACGGCGTCCCTAAGGATCAGGCCAAGCACAAGATCATCTTCGTCCATGGCTTCGACTCCTGCAGATACGACGCCCTCCAAGTGTCACCTGTAAGTCGCGATCGATCGATTACTGAACACACAGTAATCTGAAAATGCTGAGCCCCTGGGTTACTGAACGGAAGCTGAATGTGTATAACAGGAGCTCGCAGAAGAGCTGGGTGTCTACATGGTCTCGTTCGATCGTCCTGGGTATGGAGAGAGCGACCCACACCCCGGTAGAACGGAGGACAGCATTGCGTTCGACATCGAAGGGCTCGCCGACGGGCTGCAGCTCGGCCCCAAGTTCTACCTCATCGGCTACTCCATGGGCGGGGAAATCATGTGGAGCTGCCTCAAAAACATCCCTCACAGGTATGTATACAGTGTACATTATATACACCAACTGCCGCTTTCTGAACATTGTTGCAGGGAAAATTAACCAAAAGTGAAATTTGTCCTGTACGTGCGCGTGCAGGCTCGCGGGGGTGTCAATCCTGGGGCCGGTGGGGAACTACTGGTGGTCGGGTTACCCGTCGAACGTGTCGACGGAGGCGTGGTACGTGCAGCTCCCGCAGGACCAGTGGGCCGTCCGCGTGGCGCACCACGCCCCCTGGCTCGCCTACTGGTGGAACACCCAGAAGCTCTTCCCGGCCTCCAGCGTCATCTCCTTCAACCCCGCCATCCTCTCCCGGGAAGACTTGACCGTCATCCCCAAGTTCGCCTACCGCACCTACGCCGTAAGCAAACATGATCGATCCATAGTACTCCTACTTTTTTATGCGTGAAAATGGATGGACGATATGTGCTGAATAATTAAATTGCATGGGGGACGGATGAGATGGTTGCAGGGGCAGGTGAGGCAGCAGGGGGAGCACGAGAGCCTGCACCGGGACATGCTGGTGGGGTTCGGGAAGTGGGGGTGGAGCCCGCTGGAGATGGAGAACCCGTTCCCGGCGGGCGAGGCGGCGGTGCACCTGTGGCACGGCGCGGAGGACCTCATCGTGCCCGTGCAGCTGTCGCGGCACATCGCGCAGCGGCTGCCGTGGGTGCGGTACCACGAGCTGCCCACGGCGGGCCACCTGTTCCCCATCACCGAAGGGATGCCGGACCTCATCGTCAGGTCGATGCTGCTCACCGACGAGTGAGATCACCGACCGACCGACCGAGACGCGCATCTCTCTGTTTTTTTTGGTTTTTGGAATTTTGGGTACTGTCACGTACCGACGTACGGTGGTACGCGTAGTTGCTTGCTCCTATTATCCTATCCTATATAGAGAAATGACAATAATATTTTGCGGAGTCATTTTGCCTCGTTTCATCTACCACATTTCTTCGTGACTACTACTGGGTCTCTCAATTATCTGAGCCGGAACGTGATTATGGAGAGCGTTGGGGCCCATGTCAGTTGGGCCGTAAACGGGCCTCGGCTTACGTGCAGCCCCAATATTGGGCCTTACGGATGTGGGCTGAGAGTAGTTCTAGTTGGGCTAGGTGGTTGAGGGGACACTGGGTGACACACACCACCACAGGGAATAAGTTCACTTTGGGTCCCTCTACTTATCGCCCAGTCCGATTTTCGTCCTTGGCCACAAAACCGGGTATGACCCATCCCCCAACTTACGAAAACCGGGCAAACATGATCCCTCGGCGGTTTTGAAGGCGGTTTTGGCTGACGCGTCGCATACGTGGCTTCTTTGACTAGGTCTCCATCCCACATGGCATTGACGTGGCGCTTACGTGGCAACTATATCTCGAAAAAATAATAAAAAGCGTGGCCCCACATGTCAGCTGCAAAAAATTAATTTTAAAATGGTGGGGCCCATGTGGACCCCACATGTCAGCCTCACTCTTCTCTTCTTCCCTCTCCCTTCTCTCTCTTCTTCCCTTCCCCCCTCTCACTCTCCTTCCCGGGCAGAGGACGGCGCGGGTGGGCGGCGGAGCAGGCGAGCTCCGACAGCGGCGGCGGCCATGGTCGGCGCCGGCCCCCGACCGGAGCGCCGCCGGTCCGCGTGAAGGCGAGCAGCGCGGCGGCGCCCTGGAAGACGCCATCGACGCCGCCATCCGTGCCGCCGCCGCCGACCACCCGGACGCCCTCCGCGCGCACCGGGACGACATCACCGAGCGCCTCTACACCGCGCTCGTCGTCCTCCCGCCGCCGCTCCACAAGCCGCCTACGCCGTCTCTCCCCTCCCTCATCTCTCGCCGCTGACGCCGCGCCGCGCCGCTCCCTCTTCTCCCGCCAGCGGCCATCGGGGAGAAGGGCGGCGGACGGCTAGGCGAGCGGCGCGAGAGATGGCCGCCGCCGCCCCACACCGCCATGAGGCTAGCAGCCGACGCCGCAATCCTCCTCCCCCCGCTCCAAGAAACGCTCCTCCTCCTCCCACAGGCCGCGCTCCCTCGCGCTGGCCGTCCTTGCCACCGACGCCTCGGCGAGGAGGGGAGGAGGCGGAGGGGAGCGCGGTCAACGATGACGGATGGCCCCATCCATTGCGCCGCCCTTGCCGCCAACGCCACCGACGGCTCGCTTGCTCGCATGCGGGGAGGAAGAGGAGGCGAAAAGGCCGACGGTGAGCACGCGGGGAGAGGGAGGAGGCGGCGCGGGAGCACGCCGGGGCTTCGAGTCTGCCAAGTCCACCTCCGCGGCCGGCGGGAGGACCAAAGAGTAGCGGCGGCTCGCCGGCCGCCACCGCTCCACTCCCACCTACGGCCCCTTTGCTCCGCCCACCACCCGCCGCCCCTCTGCCCGCCGTCCTTCCGCCCACCGCCCACCACCCGCCACTCGCCGTCGCTCCACCCGTCACCCCCTCTGCGCCGGCAACGCCGCCGCTCGCCCTTCTGCTTGCCATGTAGGGGAGAGAGAGAGGGGGGCATAGAGAGAAGAGGGAGGCTGACATGTGGGACCACATGCGTCCCACCTTTTTTTAATTTTTTTACCTGACATGTGGGTCCCACTGTTTTTTATTATTTTCTCGGGATCAAATGCCATGTAAACGCCACGTCAATGCCACGTGGGTCGACGACCTAGTCAAATGGAGCCACGTCATCTAAAACTGGACACAGTACTGCCGAGGGACCTCTTTTGCACGGTTTTGTAAGTTGGGGGATCCGTTGTATCTGGTTTTGCGACCAAGAGACGAAAATCGTACTGGGCGACGAATAGAGGGACCCGGAGTGAACTTATTCCCCACCACAGCATCGATCTGTACAAATGCGTCGATATCGATGTCCATCATTTTGCTTCCTGGCCTCCTGAACAGTACACATCATCGACATGTTTGATTGCCTCTCTAAACGATTCTGTACATTCAGCACGAAACACCATTTCAGGAAAAAACAAACAAACAAAACTGAGCATATTTTGAAGTTGAGTTACCCTCTCGATTGTTCCATTCATCTGTGCCTCCTTATACATCTCTACCAACCTTACACCTCAAATCATTACCAGGCTATAATCACCATTTCCCAACCACCGCCACAAATGATACAGTACTGTATTAACCAAATGAAATGAAAAGAAATAACCCATTAATTATCACTAACGGGGAGTAACCTAATCATGCCCACGACCGACGGCCATGGCCGGTCAAGCACAAGCGGCTAGCTAATCCTCCATCTCCGCCTTCTTGGGCGGGCCGAACCTCTTCTCCAGCCGCCGGAGCTCCGCCGGAGTGAGCCCGAACGCCCTCTCGAGGACGGCCTCCCTGATGCCGGACCCGAACACCGTCGCCGGGATGCGGACGATGCCGGGGTTCTCGCTGTTGAAGGCGCCGTAGACCGTGGCCGGCGTGTCGCCGACGTTGAGCTGGAAGTGCACCATGGCGCGCGGGAACACCATCACCTCCCCCTGCTCGAGCACCTTGGCGAAGAGGCGGCCGCCGGAGTCGACGAACCCGGCGTACACGCGGCCGGCGAGGACGAGCGCCGTCTCGGTGGCGCGCGGGTGGTAGTGCGGCGGGTTGACGCCGCCGGCCGCCGAGAGGTCGGCGCGGGCGAAGGACATCCCCAGGGTGTGCAGGCCCGGGAACTGCGCCGGGGTGACGGACACGCCGGCGAACCCCGTCTCCGGCGAGAAGTTCCCCGCGGCGCGCACGCCGGAGAAGGCGAAGTCGCCCGCCGTCAGGTTGGCGGGGCTCCTGCACGGGTAGGCCGGGAGCATGGCGAGCTCCACCGGCCGCCCACGCCCGGCGTCCGGCACGCAGAAGTCCTGCACCGCGTCGGGATCGCCCCTTGCCGCCATCGCCGGCAGCAGCACGGCGAGCAAGAGGAGGAGACAACGACGACGATGCGCCATCGATTCTACGCTCGTTCTGTCACTCGTTCGTCGGTGGACAGCTGCTTGCTTTGCACGTAGTAGTACATATGTAGTCGAGCACTGATGTCTTGTAAGGTGAGTTGATCATTGCCAGTAATCATGCAGGTATTGATCCGTAGGTTATTCTTGTATTTTGTCATGCACGAGCAGTTGTAAAGCGTCGATCGGCCGCTTTCCCGGAAGTGCAGAGATGGTTAGAAAAGTTCTCTTTTTTTTCTTCATGCGGAAAAGAATAGGAAAAGTGAAGGGATAGAAATATATGTACATATCAATCTATAGAAAAAAAATTAGAGGTTTGAGTGGATTTTTTTTTCTCTATGCAACTTGTAGGAAAGAAAATATTGTTTTGGCTTTCTCATACTTTATTTTAACAAATCGAATAACTCATATAGAAATTAATCCTGAGAAATCCAAATTCTTTACTTTTCCTCTAAGACCCTATTTAGTTCCCAAAACAAAAATTTTCGTGCCGTCATATCGAATGTTTGAATACATGTATGGAGTATTAAATGTAGGAAAAAAAACCAATTACACAGATTACGTGTAAATTGTGAGACGAATCGTTTAAGCCTAATTATGCCATAATTTGACAATATAGTGCTACAGTAAACATTTGCTAATGATGGATTAATTAGACTTAATAAATTCGTCTTGTAGTTTTCTGACGGAATCTGTAATTTGTTTTGTTATTAGACTACATTTAATACTCCAAATATATATCTGTATATCCGATATGATAACTAAAATTAAAAATTTTCTCCAACTACACCAGGCTAAATCGAACATGCCCCTAGTTCTGGAAGTGTATTGAAGAAGCAGGGAGGGAGGCTCTGAAGAATGGTGGCTTCTGTGGATTTTCAAGTGGACGCTGCACACTTGCACAGTGCGGACTGCGGAGGACCACATGGGCTGGCATTATTGACCGGAAGAGTCGTTCAGGTCGTCGTCAATCGTGCGTGCGTGCATTGAACCTGTAGATAAGGCTTCCAAGAAACTCAGGACCAGGGAGGAGTCATAGGATCCAGCATAGTTGGCCAATAGTTCCCACGACTGGTTAAAACAGAATAATCTGGGAATGATCATGAATAATACCAATAACCGGTTTGGCACTCGGCTTTCAGTTCAGTAGCTTGTGTTTATACATAGAATGCACATCTTTTCTCAACAGTCGACTACCGATGAAAATCTTTCTTATAACATTTGTTCCCTCTATCTTAATTGAAGTGCTCCGAGCAACGCATGTTGCACGGCATATCTATCGTAGGCATGACCAGTTGTGACCTGTATGTACGTGCGCACATCGATCGCCTTTTGAGATCATATATGTGTATGAATCATCTGGGCAGATATAATGATGCTTTCGTGGCGTAGCAGGCTGTCCATGGCCGCCTCCAACCGGCCGGGAGCGCGCCGCCGCCGGATATAGAAAGGGATAATAATCCCTTGCCGCTGACGCAACTTAATCGCACTCCTGCATCATTGCATCTTCGGCCAGCGCAGCCCCTCCTTCACAGAAATAATGCGTTGGAATATCATAGCACAGAAAAGTTATAAGCAGAGAGCTCCATTAGCAAACTGGAGTATAATATTAGACAGGTGATGTCTAATCTTTGTATTAGGTTGCTACATTCATCCAACTGTTATTCACGAAAAGATATTTCATGAATTTTATAGGATTTCTGTTGGATTTAGTCTCATTTCAAGAAAAAAAAACATTTCTTTCCATTCCAAATGAGGCCAATCTGAATCCTATGGAGTTCTTTTCAGTTGATTTCCCTTAAATTTTATTTTTGTAGGAGTTCGACCAACAAGTTTGTCTCATGATCTGTCTAACGGTATTTTGGGCCTCAATTTCGTGGGCTTCTGGCCCACGATAGCACATCAAACAATGGCCATCTTCCAAGTTGCAAACCTTCTGTTAGGCCCCTTTAAATCGCAGGAACGAAAAAACGGAGAAATATGAAAAATATAGGATTCTGACAGGAATGAAGGTGTAAAACAGAGGATTGCAAAACATAGAAAAAACATAGGAATAACCGTTTGATTGGACCACAAGAAAAACATAGGAATTTGAGGAGAGATAAAGAATCAAAAGATTTCTTCCACGAGATTCTACCTCTGGTTAAAATTTCTCCAAAACTTGTATGGGAAAAGGCATTCTATAGAAATTTTATAGGATTCCATAGGGTTCATTCCTTTGATTCAAAGGGCTTTATAGGAAAAATTCCTATAGAAATAAAATCCTGTAAAATTCTTATAAATTTTCTTTGAATCAAAGGGGGCTTACTGTTTTTTTTTCGTTTCAGGTTCTACCGGAGGTTACTTCAGTGCTGCCGTGCCTGGAACTGAACTATCCAATGCTATCGAAGAACAGAAGATTGAAAGTGACTTGTATAAATGGCGGATTGCATGATGCAAATAGAACTGGGTTTTTTTTTTCTGGTGGTTGAATTGCTAGCTTGCATTCCTTTCGAAATCTCTTGAGAGATCATACTTTATTAGTCCTATTTAAATTCAATGCTTTTGTTGGAACGCGGGTGTACCTTTCAAGTTCCTGTTGTTCCATTTGGAGGGTCCGGCCGAACAAATGGCTGACAGCATACCGTCCATTTCTAAGATTTTTAATGAACTAAAAACTGAACTACAATTGCAGATCCCTTAGCACACAAATTACGAGTTTGCCCTGAGTAACCAACGATCTGTGATCACAGAAGATGCATATATTGGCCTTTAATTAATCTCTTCTTAAAATATACTTCCTGCTTAGGTCACTTACAGGGTTCACAGAACTGATGTAATTTTATGAAACTGCTAGGTCTCGATTTGTGAAAACCGGTCGGTATTAGCTGGTTTCTGTACGGTGTTGACTAAAATCATCGGTTTTTACCCGTTTTCGGTCGGATTTCGGTAAAGCTGTGAGGAGTGGTTTCTACTTCGAAATTGAAAGGGTAAACCCTGGTCACTTCATTTATTTATTTTTTTTTGCTTACACGCTTGACCTATTTCTATGAGCAACGAGTACATCTTGTTTTTTTTCTAATAATGGAATTCATGTCGACCTTTGCTTTCAAAAAACTACAACCAATTATGCAAAGATTATAGGTTGAAAAAAAAGAAAATTACAAAACCACAACTTGATTAAAAAATAAGATAACTACTTAGATTACCAACCTAAAGATCAAGATGAAACCATTGGCTTATATGTTATACGTAGTCCTTATCTTCATCACATCGAGAAACAAATTCTCCAAAAATATCAGTCGATCATTACCGATCGAAATCAGCATCGCCGCCGACGAAACCATAACGGAAGATAAAGTCGGAGAGTAACTAAGGCTGTGTTTAAATCTAGGGGTGTAAAGTTTTGGCTTGTCACATCGGATATACAGACACACATTTGAAGTATTAAACGTAGTCTAATAACAAAGCAAATTACAGAATCCGCTTGTAAACCGCGAGACGAATTTATTAAGCCTAATTAATCCGTCATTAGCAAAAGTTTAATGTAGCACCACATTGTCAAATCATGGCGCAATTAGGCTTAAAAGATTCGTCTCGTAATTTACACGCAATATGTGTAATTAGTTATTTTTTCGTCTATATTTAATACTCCATGCATATGTCCAAACATTCGAAGTGACAGGGTGTAAAATTTTGCTAGGGGATCTAAAGAGGGCCTAAGATGTAAAACAACCTTTCGCCCAAATCTTAGCATCACTCTAACTATCGAAATTGGCACTAGGTGCACCAACAAGGACCTCCAATGCTACGCCTTCAAGAAAGTCACGATATTCATGATATCACCATTGTTGTTCCGGACATTTGAAACTAGGGTTTCACCTAAAGTGTCCACTCGAAAGCAAGAAGGTGAGGCAAGATATTGCGACATCGCCTCTAGGAAAGTATGTGGCCCCACAAGCATCACCAATGTCAGGTGTGCGTGCCTCCCCCATGTCACCACCTCAGCCTCGCGCTGTCTCCACCTCCACTACACCACCGGCTTGACCCACAACCACCGCCAACCCCCAACTAGATCCAGCTAGCCCTCCAACTAGAGGGCAACTGGCAAGCATGGACTAGAGGGCAGCTGCCACTAGGATCAATGAGTGCACTTACCCCATCTCTGCCATTCTTGCCATCACGCGACAACAGATACCTGATGATGACATCCTCCACTATTACCCGCCAGCAAAGACGCAAAAGTCGGGCGGCGACCATGTGAGCCTCTGAATAATCCCACCTTGCTTAGCTTGGGAGGAGGAAGCCACCTTAAAAGGGAGAGCCACCCTTCCTCTATTGGACTAGTCTTTTAGAGAGATTGGGCCTTTCCCCGAGTGGGTGTGCCTATGAACTGTTGGAGTCCGGGCAACCTTAAGTTATTGGGCCTCGACCAACTCCACCTGGGCCGGATTGTTATCATTTGGTATCAGAGTTGGGCCCTTGTTAAGGGGGTGGGAATGATGAGGACATCCTCCACTATTACCCGCTAGCAAAGACGCAAAAGTCAGGCGGCGGCGACCGTGTGAGCCTCTGAATAATCCCACCTTGCTTAGCTTGGGAGGAGGAAGCCACCTTAAAAGGAAGAGCCACCCTTCCCCTATTGTACTAGTCTTTTAGGGAGATTAGGCCTTTCCCCGAGTGGGTGTGCCTATGAACTGTTAGGGTCCAGACAACCTTAAGTTATTGGGTCTCGGCCAACCCCACCTGGGCCTAATTGTTATCAATACCATACATCCAGCAGCAAGGAGGTGATACCACCACTACTGGAGAAAGGGGCTTTAGTCCCGGTTGGGAACCCCACCTATAGTCCCGGTTATGCAACCGAGACTACGAATCCGGGACTAAGTCCTGGGAGAAAGGGGCTTTAGTCCCGGTTGGGAACCCCACCTATAGTCCCGGTTATGCAACCGAGACTACGAATCCGGGACTAAGTCCTGGGTGAAATAACTGGGAGTAAAAATCCGGTTGGGAACCCCACCTATAGTCCTAGTTATGCAACCGAGACTACGAATCCGGGACTAAGTCCCGGGTGAAATAACCAAGAGTAAAAATCCATTTTCCAACCGGGACTAAAGATGGAGCTAGGCCAGGTCCGGTTGCTCTTTTTTTTTCTTTTTTCATTGTTTTTAACATCGAATATTGATTTTACTCCATCGCCAAATCATACCTAAGAAATCCCGAATCCTCAAATCGATCATCTCCAAATACATCCCAAATCATCACAGATC